ACATAGGGACCGAATAGTAGTTAAAGTAATGTGGCAAGACTTTACAACTTATCCATTGAAATCAAACAGAGTTATATCTCTGTGAGATCATTATCCATATTGAATCTTCTAAACGTGCTCAATAGTAGCTTGAGGGAATATGCGTCCATAAAACTCAAATTCTTCAATAGGAAATGATGCGTCAATGGTGGATTTGCAAAGAGTTGTGGAATATGATGGTCTTTATGCAGTATTCCATGGTTCGCATCTTCATTATTCTTAATAATAGATTTAATTTACTGACCTTAAAATAGCGTAAGAAGGGTAGTGATAAAATTTATTGTTGGGAGTGCACTGAAGTCACCCCGAGGGGCCGATTTGAGCTCATATCTGTTTGTTAATCCCCTACGTAATTGTTCACCCACTGTCATTCTTACAGAGGTGGCCATGGTTGAACGGTTCCTCCGCTGACCTAATAGGGAACTCACTCATTATCATGCATAAAGCATTTTCCATTCCCTTCACAAACGTAGTATTATCAAGTGCACTCGTGCCTTTATGCGTTCAATGCAATCCTCTTCTACATACAACCTGGTGCAATTTCATTCTTTGGTCATTAGCCTTATTATGATAGCGGTATTAGCCAAATTCACGGCTGAGGAAGACAATAGTGGTTGTACAGGGACCATGTTGAGAAAGAAATTCAATTCAACTCAGCTGCAGTGGCGTATTTACGTGACGTGGGTTTTCGGTTTTATGTTATGAACAATTGCTCCCTTCGAGTACAAAAATGAATACTTGTCAGCATACGTCATTGAGCGATTGGTTGATTTATTTGCATACAGTTTCTAAATTCCGAGAAACCACAGAGATGTTTCAAGTGATAGTTTTACACACTTTGATAGTCTTGTAAAACTACAAATTTGAATTTAAAATTCCCTTTAAGTTTAGGTGGTACACCAATTTGAATTTGTAAGAATATTAATTAAAGTTAATTTATATTACGAATTTCAAGCAAGTAAAGAACTAATGGGTGTATGCACTAAACACTAAAAGTATCATTCTCTTATTGCATAAATAACAACTCCAAATTATCCTGACAAATTTTTCTTCTGCGCCTTCCTTCAGCACAGTATTTTTATCTAAACCGATGACAAAGAGACGTACTGGGAACTCTATTTTACTCCTAATTGGAACATCCCCACGAATAAAACTATTCCCACATTGGATTGGTTCATAATTGGCCAATCAGAGGCATCTATTACGCTATGGTTACTGTAGCTCACCTCTGGTGCACATTTGGAAAGGATTCTGCGCCAAAACCAACAACAGGTAAAGGATAGTATTGTGTATCCAGAGCAGGACATCCGCGTTCATAGTCTGATCATATAATGAGTACCAAGGCTAGAACAGACGTGATCACTCGTTGCGTATCTGTCGTGAGTTTTTGCAAAGTTTTATGCTTTTGAACACAGGGAGCATTCTTATTTTTGCATACCTTAGAATATTGCAATGCGCATGAAAACTTTAAAAGGAGAGACGAATTTAAATTACTTCGATAAAATAAGGAAAAATTCACCTCAGGTAAGTTGCAAATCATTAACTTTTAATATGAAAACAATCGAGTTAACGAATATAAATATTCATTATTGTATCGTACTAAATTTCAACCTCATCGTATTGCGCCTGACGTTCACACAGCATCCTCATCCTAAACTCAGTGGTTACAAAGCTCTGACTTTTAACTTTGGAATTATTCTGTGTCGTGGTATTTATCTGTCAAATTGATCAAAATTGAGATTTAAATTGTCCCAGAAAAGAAACATCACAAAATATGGTTCAAACAAAAATTGTGTCGAAGACATTAAGATAGGTGATATTTTTTCAATCTTTCCACAGCATAATTTTGGCAATGCGTAACGAAGTCATTGTATTATTATCACAGTCACTAAAGTGAAATAATAATAAAATAAATAAATAATAAGTTAATTTATTAACATATAAGCCCAAACCATCTCTGTGCACTATTTTAGCTTAGTTTAAAATTTTATTCAATACTTATAACGTTCTAATAAATTAATATTCTTATCAACATGAGTCTATCACATAAATCGTGAGAACTTACAATTTAGAAAAAAAACTTCTGGACTTTAAATAAAATATAAGGTCACGCGTATATCTTCACCCGTAACTTAATATAAACTATTGGAAATTAAAACTTTAAGGGACTTTTAGAGAAGTTAGTAACCATTTAAAAACCATTAACTCAGCTCAACCTCATGAAAAGGTGACGCAAACAGACCTATTTGAAACCTAAATTCATTTTTAAATATCGCGACTAGGTATTTTATTTAATTACATACGACCTTTAATGGAAAATATAGATTATTATCTTCTCTTTATTACCTTAGATGCTAATTCAAAGAGATTATTTCAGCAAGAGGCGGAATTTATTGATTTACAATAAGAGAAGCATAGAGAAGCTAATGAAATTGAGTGACTGAAGTGGTCAACATTTTGAATTTGACCATGCCAGCGCTTTTATTAATTACTAATTTCTCAATCTAGTACACTTACCTACATATTTACAATGATTTTTTAAAGCTGCAATTGTGAAATGTAATAAATTCACCTATCTTCTGTACACCACGCAAAAGAATTCAATCCCTTCAGGCCAACGATTTAAAACCCACCTTCTAAAGCTGAAGGAGAGCTAACTTTGATCGAAGGGAAATGTTTCATAGCAATAAACATTGTCAGGCATCTTTTACTCAATGTGCTTTAATATTCGAATGAGTGGATGGAAGCAAAGAGAGTTTTGAACCCACACAGAAGCATACTATCATGTCTGGTTTTGGAAGATGATTGAATAAATAGCTTTATGAGCGTCAATATACCAAGAGCTGTCTTTATCATAGCGAAAAGATGCTCCCAGGATAACATGTGCTTAGAGTATCGTAATAATAATTTAAGACTTTTTGATTGTGTTGAACTATACGCGTATTTTAATTTAATATTTGATCAGCCAAAGTTACCGTAATGAAATTTCAATTATCGCTATGCAAACATTACCTAAAAGAACACAAAAAAACAATAAGAACAAAATTTGTGTGCAATATCGGGTTTTAAAAATCCATTTAAAGAAATTGTAGCCAGATGTTTAGTTTTGATTTAAATTTAAATTTTTGATAAGTCTTCTCTTATAGTTGCTTGTAAGTAGGCAAAGAAACTCGAGGCATTAGTGCAAAAATTAAGTGAGTGAGTTGGCTCTAAGGATCCATTTACCACTCTGAGCGTGATCGAGATTTTGTATCGAGAGTTATCGCCACAAAACAAGCGAGTTTGTTTTCAAAATAAAGGAGATGAAATTCGTGCATTTCCTCTGCAGAGGTGGGTTTATTCATGAGAATTCCTTTTAAAGATCTTAACGAAATTAGGAAATTCATGACTTAAATCCAGTTTATTTGACATTCTTGGCTCTGAGTTGTCTACCTTTACATAAAGGGATATACTTCACGCTTTAGTATCAAGCAAATGTAACAAAGCTCAACTTTTTACAACTTGTTTTCCAGTCCAAAATTCGGAACTCTTCAAATAATGGCTTTGATTTAGTGGTCGGTTCTACTAGCTTCAATTTGTTTCTATATTTCTTTACCAATGAACAGGCTGATTTAGCCAATGGAGTATCATTTTAAGAACAGCTAATCGAAAGTGCCAAACCACACAAATGTGAGCACTAGAAGCTAGTCATTTAAATTTCCGCTTGACAATTTTAGACCAAGTATAAAAATCAATATATTTTTTTTTAAAAACAGCTCTTTGAAATTAACTTTTCCATGACTATAAGTATGCCATAATTAGTGCAATGTGTTATATATTCAAAAATATTTATTTTCAAAATGGATGAGTGAATTACTTTTTACAAGTTGACGTTTTTGCTGATTCCAGTTGGTCGGTGTGACAAATTTTTTGAAAACGTTTGTTCTAACTCTCAATTTTGGTTAAAACTTAATTGTGAAGAACATTAATGAAAGAAATTTACTAGATTTAAAGCATCTACAAATCCTGGTTTTTATACTTTCAACTCTGCTCTTATTTTATTCAAATAGTTAGAACTGGTTTATAAATAGGTGGTTATGGGGGAAAAACATACGCATGCATGCACTTCTTTATGAAGGTCGACCTTGTATTTTTTGTTTGAATACTTGAATAAAATATCCACCGAGACAGAAATTCTAAAATACTTATGATTATATTTATATCCTCGAACCAATTAAATGCTGTTGTTATAAAGTGATTTTCCAATTCGATCGTTAATACTGTAGCAATAAGATTTCAACATTGCTTAGTCCTTTAAACATCCCAATTTTGTAATATATGTATCTTAAAAGAAAACTAATGGATATCTTATTAATTTAAGCAATTTAAATCATTTTAATAAAATATGCACAAAATCTATAGAATTGACATTACAAATTGACATAAGTGCTCAAATTTTGGTCCTAAATAAACAATTCCCCCAGTTTATATGGATTTAGAATTAAAATTTTGAAATAACACATCTTACGAGAAGCACGATTGATCTAACGTTTGCAACTTGGACTAACCAATCATTTACAAGTTCTAACACCTTTTATTTAAACAGCAATTGTTGTGTTAACAAAATCCTCTGCAGTGCCTTTGATAATCTAACATGGTATGCAATTTTTCCACCTTGTAATCGTTTACCAATTTTTCAGCTTACAACACTTGAAAACGAATGTATTTAGCAAATAAATACACAAACTTCCGTAATTCTATGGCCATTAGATCTAATCGAAAAGATTTGATGAAGTAAAAATGCATTATATCTCGAGAGAATGAGAAAGAAATGGCAAAAAAGTAGACTCATAGCCAAAGATAAATTTTGCGTGCACGTGCACCTTAATCGCATACTTTAGGTTAATATGTGATATAGGTCAAGACGCTTTCGTGTAATTGCGTATATATTCCCGCTGTATGGTTTCCTTTCATTCCAGCCAATGTCGTACAACAATACAGCCGCCAACGAGCATTTGCCTACTACCCCTGCAGTCAATAGCACAACCAAAGTGGCCAAAACCTCCAGTGGACCCCTTTCACCTCGTGCGCCTCCCCTTATTTCCAAGTACAGAGGCGAGCCACCTTCCCCACCCCGCAAGACCCCTCAGCGATCTCACACTGGGAAGGATGGAATATTCTTTGCATCCATTGGTGGATCCAAACCCCCCTCCTTCTACATTATTCATCCAGAATGGGCCAGTGAGGCAGAAGGCATCTCGAGACTGGGAACTCGAGCGAAGAGTATAGCGCAGCTGCGGGAGAATGGAAGGCGACCTAGGAGAGATATTCCTAAAAGAGCTGATGCGGAGATTCGAGGAGGGATTCTACCTGTGGATAGAGGGAACGAGAGCATACTCACAACAGCACGGAGGGCAAATATTCACAATCCTGTTTGGCCCCACAGATGTAAAAGCTCTCCCGCACAGCGATCTAGAAATCCCATTGCCTGGGTCTAGTGATGACAAACCGGCCCACACTTTGCTGGAATTTCATCACGATGTTTTCGCTTTATTCCTTGCAAATATTTTTTTCAAATGGCAGGCTTTATGATATTTATCATTAGCCCTTAAACTTCGACTTCAGCTTTCCCCATGGGTGGGGGGTACATATATAGTAGTAAATTAATAGCAGTTCATTAGCTGTCTTCTTGCTTCCCAGTATCTCTGGGTTTCCGTCGGTGTCTTAAGGGCTGGACACCGAATCAGGTAGGCCTTACAAATATATATTCACGAATACCAATTTTGTGAATTCTGCATCATTTTTTAGATTTTTACACATTTAATGTTTGAAGCATATTGTAAGGCGTTCTGAATGTTTTGTGCTGATTAACGTC